CGGGTCCCCTTCTGGATGCTCGTGGTCACTTTCCTGACCCATTCGCTGTTGAACGCACCGTATTAGTCGTTCTCTGGGGTCGAAACTCGCTTCCCCCTGCTTGGTCGTTGTGTCTTCCATTGTGGTGACGTCTCCACCTTCGCTCTCGCTGTCCTCTTCCTCGCTCTGTGTTTCCTCATTCTTGGCTCGCGCCCGGTCGTCAGGCAGCTTCTCTCTGGGTACTTGATGGATTGGCCACACTCTCTCGTCATTCAGTATTATTGCCTTCTCATCCCAATCGAATGTAGGTCGGGCCTGGAGCAGCCATGGTATGCCCAGGATGGCGTCAAAATGCAGCAGCTCCATCTCGATTGCTCTTACTGTGGTAACGGATGGTCCCAACTCGATCGTGAGGCTTTGGTGGGCTTGGCACCGTCCTCGAGCCGTCCCGTCTACCAAGCAGATGGTGGTCGAGTCATCCCTTCTCTCATCTTCCGGTTGTTCCTCGAGGAAAGCACGGTTGACAAAGTTTGTAGTGGCCCCGGTGTCAAGTAGGGCAAGCCCTAGTCTTCCTTGTATTTTGGCCTTAAAGCATGGCAGCGTAGTTCTCGCTTTGGGGAGATGGCTGGCGTTTCCACAATACTCCCGGTCTTGTATCTCCTCTTCTGCGCGCTCCAAATTCGTCACGGTGTGACGCCTCTCGCCACCGCGACGTCCTTCACCTTTTGATGCTCCAAATCGCTCGCCAGGTCGCTGTCTTGTGGCACAATCTTTCGCATAGCGCCCATAACCCCTGCACCGGTGGCACTGAATTTCTTGAGGCCCTCCTCGCTGCAACGTGTCGACCTCCATGGGTGTTGGTCCTGCTCGTGGTATCGGTCGAGGAAGCGGTCGGTGTACAGGGGGGTTGGCTGTATTTCGGGTAGCTCCATTGATGCGGAATAAAATATCATCCGCCTTCAGCGCATGACTCATAGCTTGCTGTAGATTTAGTGGGTTGGCCCTCTCCACGTCCAGTCGTACGGCTGGCTTCAGTCCTCGTTTATAACGGTCCAGACACTCGTCGTCGCTGATGCCTGGAATTCGCGTTTTTAGGTCCATAAATTTTCCGGTGTAGTCCTCCACGCTAGTTTTCTGGGCGAGCCTCGCCAGCTCGTCTCGCGCCTTCTGACGGTCGTTGGCTACCCCGAACTGTCCCTCCGCAGCATTGACAAACTCTTGAAACGTTCGAATTGCTCCTACTCCATGCGCTTGTACAAGATTCTGCCACCACAGGCCAGCTGTCCCTCGGAATTGGCTGGCCGCAAACTCCACGCAGTAGGCTTCGTCGTGAACGTTCATCAGTCGTAGATATTGCTTGACCTGGAACGCCCACTGAGTGAACGTCCCCTGACGTGCTCCCTCGTACGTAGGTGGCTTAGTAGGCTTGACAATCAACTGGGCCGGTCGTTCAGGCTGTGGGCGTGTCCTAGCATCAGCCAGGGAGGCGGCAGCTGCCACTGCCTCGTCCAGCTGGTTCTGGATTCGTTGGTTTATCTCGCTTTGTTGCACCTCGACGTGTCGTGCCAGTTGGTTCCACCGGTCGCCCAGTACTTGCTTGATGGCTGCTTGTAACTGGTCGGGCGAGGCTTGTGACGGACTCGGGGACCGGCTCTGTACGCTCCCCTTCTGGCTCATGTTGTTTGGTCCTGTCTGGCCGTTTCTTTGGAAGTATTCCGCGGGTCAGTCGTCGACCGATGTCTTCACGTCGTTTCCCGCCTCGAGTCGTCACTTGACGTCCCAGCACTAATTTTCCTTGGTTCTCACTCCCTTCCAGTCGTCACGCTTGGACGGCCCACCTTGCTGACGTCTCTTTCAGCGAATGGCTCCCTGGCGCCGGCAGGCCCGTCTTCAAAATCTCTTCTTTCCTGATTCGCCCTCGGGGCAGACCTTCACGGGTGACGTCTTCGTGACGTCCAACCCTCACTGCCCTTGGTGCGGTCTCCTCGTTGTCGCTCTCCGGCGCACAACGGAACGGTTGTCGTCGCCCTCGGGGCAGGCCTCTTCGCTGTCGCACTCCGGCGCACAGCGGCACTCGTCGGCTCTTCTCTTTCGAGCTTCCGACACAGCTGACGACTTCCAGACGTCCAGCTGCGCCGCTCTTCAGTCGGAGTCCAAGCTTCCCTTGGGCCTTGGGGTCCCGCCGCCTCAGGTCGTGGGTCGGTCAGAACGAAGCGCCGCCGCAGCTTGGGCGCTCCGCTGGCTCCGAAACCAGTTGTAAGGGGTGGCAACCCTCCTTGGCTGGTCGGGGCTTGGCCCATTACCCGTTCGAGTCGGGGTCCAGTCGGAAACGAACTTGAACGGCAAGGTTTCGATTACAGAAGTGTTCCGGTATTCCCGTTTATATACCCCATGTCCAAGGCAGTCCAAGGGTCATGCCAGAATTGGGTGAGTCACCCAGATTCTGGCATGCCCGCCCAGTTTCGTAATTCAAACCCCCAACTTCGTGTCCGTTCGTTTCTACCGACCCGTGGTCACCCAGCGCCTCTCTCTACCGTATTGACCAATACGGCACTCTTTCCCTTTGTCCATTTCATCATCACCCAGTCCAGTTATCCTTAGTAAACCCAACATCTAGCTTTGGCTCCTGAACGGCCAGCTGCGGCGTGCATTCCACGCCCCGTTCATTGAATGAAATGGCTAAGTACTATCCCGCATTAGAACCCGTTTCCCGTGAGCTATTATACAATGTTTCCCATGCTAATATACAGTACCGCCCAGGTTAATATACAGGTGAACTTCCCCTTCTGTCCTAATGTACAAGGCTGCCCTCACAGCCGCCCTTCGTCAATCCGGGATCAGTGTACGCTCGGCCCCCCAGTACCTCGCGGCGATTACTACGGTCCACCGGTGGTTTGGCATCGACGACTGGTCAGCCACCTCTACTGCGTCCAACGCGATCCTCGCTTCGTGGCGTCTGGACATCGCGGATCACGAAGCTAGGGATCAGCCTACGCCCTTCTCTGCTGCAGCCCTCTCTTGCCTTCTCCACCTGGTCTCCGGCCACTCTCCGCTCCCCCAGTTGCGCGCTACGCTGCTCTTGGGGCTGGATTTCGCATTCTTCAACCGCAGCGATTCTACGTTCCCAATTACGGCTACCGATCTCGAGGTCTGCGAGGGCAAGATCGTCTTCCGCGAGGTGCGCTTCAAACGAAAGTGCAACGACCGGCTACAAAATTGGGTCCGGCAATTCGATGCTACGGGAGTCCCCCGCCTCCTCGCCATCCTCGAGGCTTACCGCGAAGCGTGCCTCGCGGCGTTCGGCCCCACGCCCCTGCCCCAGTTCATTTGGCAACTCCCCGGCGAATCTCCCCCACGCCCAGCCTGGGTCTCTACCATTTGTGCCCAGGCCACCGCGTGGTGGCCCTCCCTCTTCGACGGCGATCACCGCCACCACGATCTGCGGCGAGGTGGCGCTACCGCGGCGCATGCAATCGGGGTCCCCCTCGAAACCATCTGCTATTGGGGCGGCTGGACCTTTGGGAGCGAGGCGGTTTTCTCCTACATAGATTTCTCTCACCAGCCAACAGCGGAGGACGCCGCCTGGTTCGGCTGGATGCGCCGTGACGCGGCCTTCCTTGCCGCTCAATTCTGCCATCTCCACCGGCCTCCCTCCACCTCCTCCGAGCGGCCCCCCGATGCCTCTCCCTCCGCGCATCCTCCGGCAGCCGACGAAGCCATGCTGGATGCCCCCTCGCTGCCTTTGCCTCCCGGCTCGACCGGCGCTTCAAGCCCAACTTCCCGGCGACTCTGCCCAGTTCGGCGCAGGTCCGCAGCGGACCTTTGACTCCTTTTCAGGACATTTCGAGTGCACTATTTAGCACAGCAATCGCGGGAAGCATGGCAAACTGGTGTGATGGCACTCGAAGGCGTTCGAAGTGCAGAGACTCTGAGTATGTGTTCTTCTGTTTTAGTGTAGATGGTCAGGCGCCCCGAGTGTGCCCTCCTTACCCGAGTTAACGCAAAGAAGCACGTCTATAAACGGGTGGGCAAGGCCCCCCGAGATTTAAGCGGAATTGACGGAATGAAATGGAGTGAATATGTTTAAATCGGGATTAGGGCCATTGGGAGGGAACTTTGGTCGGCCAACGGGAGTTCCGTTGTGGACACACTTGGACTCGGTGTGATTGGCGCTGCCTTTACGCAAACCGACTTTGACTGGCTCAGTGAGAAAGTGTTTGGCGCAACTCTTAAAGTTGTGGCTAGCTTATGGGCAGCGACCCTTGTCGCAGGGCGCGGTTGGTGATAAAGTCCAAGAAACCGAACTGAGCACGGTTTGCACGGCTGGGAACGCTGTTTCAACTCGATCCGTGCAAACGGGGAACTTGGGACTAAAGGTTGGCGAAACGAGTGTGTGGCTATCTCGTTTTTCGCTCCCGCCCACCTCATCCCAAGATAATTGGCTTGAATTTGAATGTAAGGAGAGACAATTGGCAAACTGGTGTGACGGCACTCGAAGGCGTTCGAAGTGCAGAGACTCTGAGTATGTGTTCTTCTGTTTTAGTGTAGATGGTCAGGCGCCCCGAGTGTGCCCTCCTTACCCGAGTTAACGCAAAGAAGCACGTCTATAAACGGGTGGGCAAGGCCCCCCGAGATTTAACTTATGCCGCAGCCAACCCGCAGTCCGCAAGGCGCAAGGCAACCCCCGCTCCCAACATCTACCTATCTGTTGCCCGCATTGCCACCCTCGTGCCCCACCCGACGCTCCGCATTCGTAGACCACGCGTGCCACATCGTAGCGACGGCTCCGCCGCGCACGGACACTGGAGGCGCCGACGCCGCGACGAGCGCGGCCCGGCTCCCGGGGGCTGGGGCGGGCCGCGCATCTCCTGGCGCTGGACGCTCGGCCCCCGCCTGCCAGACATTCCCTGCGCCGCGGACAGCCCGTAACGCATCGCAGCCGGCCCGTGTGCACTTCCCGCCAGGCGTGCAGGCGGCCAAGGCTGCCATCCAGGGGGTGGAGAGTGCAGAAGGTGGGGAGGATGACTTGGTGGCGCCTTGGCTATGTGGGGACGGGATTGCCGGTGGCCTATGGAAGGGGGGTCGAGGGCCCGTGGGCTGCGCATCGGGCGCGCATGCCGGGACAATGCGGCGACAGGGCGGAAGCGACTTGGTCTGCGCTGTGCCGTCGGCGTATGTTGTGGTCTTGGGCTGCCAGAGGGCTGGCATGGCTGCCCGTGGCAGTGGTGAACTACGCACGGCCTTTTCTCTGGCACGAGGGGTCCATCTCAGGGCTCGATCGGGGCGCCAGGACTTTCTTGGACCACAAGGAGGAGCTACGCGGTGGGCGTGGTCGCAGATCTTCGATTGCTCACGTGGTCGGCATGGGCAACCAGAGTTGGATGTCACAGATGGTGACCGTGTTGTAGATACCTTGCTCGCACGCTCCTGTCCGAGGCTACGCGTCGTGCAGCCAGCGCAGACCTTCACATCTTTCCATTGATGAATGGGGTCCTCAGACCTCTGTAAGCCAACAGGTCCGGGCTGACAACACGCCTCGTAGGAATTGGGGCACTGGACACCCGCACACGAAACTTCGTCCACGTTGTTTACTCTAGAAAGTGTCCGTTGCTTGGGTTGTTCAGGGTGCTTCTGCACCAGTTCAGTCCTTGGACTTTTCGCTAGCTGCCTCATATCATACTCGCGGGTCATGGTTGCAGCCAACTGGGGCGCACACTCACAGTAGTTTGTAGTGTGTTCACTGGCGGAAATGTAGGCAGTCCACCCATCACTGGTGATCTTGTCATGGTCCCAGTAGAACGTGCTGTGCACAGCGATCTGCAATGACTGCACTGCAGATCGTGCAGGCTCCCATCTGTTTTCTACTGCCTTCAGCTTGTGTCTGCTGAAACAGTGGTTTCAAACTTGCAGCAGGAGCAGTACCACATGGGAACACAGCGATGACAGTGCTCTGCTATACAGCTGCATCCCTGCGGCATCTTACTTTTGCTCTATGGGGCTTGCCAGGCATACTGAGCTCCCATGGATTGCAGCCTTTGCTGTGAGCCCTTTGAAGAGGATGGACATCACGCTCCCCGTACACTTCATTGTGGCCACACCTTCTGCACCCATTGTATTGAGATGCTTGAGAGAACACAGCCAAGATTTTCTGCTCGGTGCCCAGAGTGCCGTGCTTTCATTCGATTCCACCGAATTCCCCCAATCAACTTTGCAAAGAATTTCAAGCTCTTGGAGGTGATCAGGGACAGGAAGGGACCACCTCCCAAACCAGGTATGCAGCCTGCCAAACACAGCAATGAGAGTGCTCGCTGTGAAGAAGAATTCCCAGGTATCTGGCCGTAGGAATAACAGAGATAGGATGCTGATACTGTGCAAAGTTTAGTGGATGGATATCTTCTGCCTGTGAATAGGTTTGTTGCTGCAGGCTCGATCACAGTTATCCTCGATCGAAATGTCAGAAAAGAGTCAGATACAACGACTGTCTTGAGCTCAGTGGTATCTTTGGTGCCGATTTCAGCCCTCATGCTGTTATCTGACGTGGTAATCGCTGTGGTGGTGTCGAATAGGGGCAGACACAACAACCACATACAATGACCATAGAGGCAACGATGCCACAGACCTGTCTGGGTTTGTGCCACGTGGGTCTGAAGTCCAAGAGGCTGCATCCCCACTAAATCATCCATCGGAGCAAACATTGCCTTGGATTCATTTTGGCTGGACTCCTCGACTGGGCGTGGACAGTGATTACGAAGTTGAGCATCGGGCAGGCTTGATCCGTGGTTCATGGCCGCATGCAGTGCCACGTCAGGCCCAGCTGGATGCCATCGTTCCACCACCCCGCCCTTCCTCAAGGCTGTTCCTGGGTGGTGTTGGAGGTGCTCCAGCAAGGCCTTCTGCGCCTGTGCCCCCAACCCCAGAGGCCACTGCCACAGCCACAACCTCCACGACACCTGATGAAGGATCTTCTTCCCACGATGCAGACATATGGACCACGAACAATACAAGCAATGGGGAAGGGTTGGTATACAATGGTGACCAAAATGCAGTTGTGAGGGGACGTGCAGTACAGGGAGATAATGGGGGCCTGGTTTGCAAGTTTTATCAGGAAGGGACCTGCCGGTATGGCCCATTCTGCTGGTTCGACCACCCCTGCATCAATCCCTCAAAGCCCATGTGCAAGCACTGGCTTCAAGGACGCTGTCGCATGGGCCTCAGCTGCAACTACCGTCATGGGGTACTGGTCCCGCTGCAGAGGCGGAGGCGGCATAGAAGCCAAAGAAGCCAAAGGCCTGGAGATGCTGGTCCGAGCGGGGATGCTCAAAGGGTCGAGGAGGAGGATTCACAGCATATTTTGCATCCATCTGATGGGCGTGCACTTGGTGGCAGCCAGGGTTCAGAGGCAAGGGGAGTGGCGAGGAGTGTGGTGCTTGTGGATGGGCATGGTGGGGTTCTTGGCTATAGGCAGTGGGGGTCCAATAACATTGTTGGGCAGCACCAGCAGGTAGGTGCCTGCCCTCGTGCAGGAGAGGCGACCCACTTTCAAGGTGGGGAACGTGGTTCAGGTGAGCATTTCTATGACAGATTTGGGACTGCTGCCAGTCTGTCAAGTCAGCCTGCAGGCCGGGCCACCTCAGAGCAGTGAACTCACTCTGCAGGAGTCAAAGTAGTTGTAGGTCTATCAGGAAAGCTAATTGCAGCGTATGGTGCCATTGGGTGCTGAACATGTGATGGCCATCAGCGTCATGCCAGTGTGCCACTTGAGGAGACGGACATAAGGACTGTCCCTCATGGGTGGCACCCAATTAAGGTGCTGTGCGCCCAGGGCGTGTGTTCAGCAATTTATTCTATTTATTGCTGCTCCACAGTACAAATTAGGGTGCGACAGAGCAGCCATGTCGTTTTGTGGCCTTGATGCACACTGTTGCACACTGGGCGTCGCCTGAAGTGCACTAGGGATGTGGCCATTAACGTTGGAGCCACATGAGAGGCACTGGCAATCGATTGCAAAGTAGGACCCCCAAGAATAAACTTGTGTTGCATGCTGGACTGAGCTTCTGCAATCAAGTGCTGTGGGAAATAAACATTCTCTCCTCCAATGTTTGGGCACAGCTTGGATGATATTTGCAATTGTTCTACAAGTCTAAGGCACGGGTGGTGGGTGGGTGAGGGGTGGGAGCACTACAACAGAGGGCAAGCAAGATGGGTGGGCAAGCGGGTGGGCCTCTTTTGTGTTCAGTGTTTTTGATTGAACATTCAGAATTGTAATAATATAATGAATTTTGTTCCCATCTACGATTGGTAGTGATTTCTGCAACGTTAAGTTGCCGTGTTGAGCCGTGCTTGATGAAACAGTATTCATTTGTAGGATGCATCGATTGATGAGACCATTCTGAGGATGTGAACCCGAACACAAATGGTGCATGTGCGGCTCAAAGTCGGAGAAAGATCCTGAGTGAAATGTCAGAAAGGCGAAAGGGCAAAGTTCAGTTCCTACCAAAGGCTCTAAAGGAAGGAAAATTGATTTGTCGCTTCTCAACCATTCATAATGTGGACCCCAGCTGTTATTTCCAGCTCTTGGAATGCGCTTCACGGTCTTTTCTGCTCCATAATGAGATGTAGAGAACAGTTGGAGACTTCTCAGCTCAAAACTCTCACGCATCTACTATTTGGTAATGATTGCACGATTTTTGCCACATCTATGGTTTGACACCTCTGCACATTAAAATTAAGTGGCCGCACATGAAAATTCACTAACATTTGTGCTGAGCGCAAAGGGCAGTCCTACGTTATCATTGTGACAAGAACCATGCTCCTCGCACACATGGTCGCAACCAACAGGAAAGAAAAATATGTGTGAGGGCGAGGAAATTATGGCGAGTAATTATAAAGGGAATGTGTGAAATACGGTGTGATTGGACATGGGGAACATGGTGATGAAAATGCGGCGAATATGGGAATGGTGATTACTAACTAGAGACATTTCCTGCCAACACTATTTGATTTACATGCTTGTCTTGTATTGTATTGATAATAGTCTGGGAGCGACCACATGCGGACCGAGTGCGAGCGGTCAACCTGATATGGTTTTGGAGTTTGGAACGACCTTGGGGTTCTAGGTGTCCAATGGAGGCGTGGGCAACGTCGCCATCTCACTTGTCAACCCCCGAGCGCCGCCATCATTTTGGCGGTGCTCAGAGTGGTGGTGGTGTGGGAGGTGGCGGTGGACATGATAATACGTACAGGTCTAGTGCGGGGACGTCTCACCCAAGACCTTTTGACAATCTTAGCATTGGGGATGCTTTGCCCAGGTTCTTCATGATAACTTTCCTAACCTAGATATTATGTATATGTAGTAGTTAGGGGTGATCCCTCCTGGAGGTCCCGTATGGCCTTGAGGTTCTTGGCGTGGTGGGTCTGGGATTAAAGAGGGTAGGAGCCCCTACCCAGACTTTGTACCATTTGGTTTTGGAGCCACTTAGGGGTGGCTCGGAATGTGACCTAGGTCCCAGGTAGTATGAGCGATCTCATAGCAAGGCGGGAAGAGGGAAGCATGATGATGAGTGAACCGCTGAACCACGTTCAAAGTGCTCAAGGTAGAACGAAATGATTTAACACCAGTGATAGCCGTAAGTGTGGAAGCCGGTTTCTGCTCATAGTCATCAAACTCATAAGACAAACCCGAAATAGTGCAACCCAAAACAACCTTGTGGGTAGACAACACTGAACCTAGTATTGATTTAGATGAAACCCATAGTGCAAAAGTTTCTGAAAAACAACTTCCATGTTATCACTATATTCGGCCAACGTATGACCACCAACAATGATATCATCCGTATAGTTGATGCCAAAAGTCCCACACAAAATGCTGGCTAGAATTGAAACAAATGTGTTGAAGAATTCCAACCCCAGGGAAGGTGATTGAATTGAAGCTGGCAACCAGGAAATTCAAAACGAAGGTGGCACTTGATATCGGATGCCAAACGAATGTTGCAGAACCCCTTCTCCACACCAAATACAACAAAGTATTGTTATGAAGAGGAAATTGAGACAAACACAAAATGCACGAGAGGCATAGCACAAGTCCAAGTATGGGAAAGAGAATTCGAAAAGAAAAAACAACAAAAATCAAACACAAGGCGCACCTTGTGAACATCCTTCTTGGGAACAAACATAGCTGATCAGGTGTGGGTCCAGGCCCACGTTAATTTAAGGGTGGGTTTTATATTCAACTCGAACGCAAAACCCACCCTCGTGTCCAACTCGGAACGCAAAACTCATCCGCATAACCCAAGGGTTACCCCAAGGTTACCCTACCACAGGAGGCTATAGGTGTTGCAGGAGGGGCACCCTCATATTCCAGTCGATTGCATGACCCGCGTTCAATTAAGAGGGTGGGTCTCATATTCAACTACAATATGAAACTTGTGTCTAACTTGGAAGGCAAAACCCATTCTCTTGTTCTAGTTGAAAGCAATTTGAAAATCAAAATCTAGTCAAACCCAAGAGCCGACCTAGTGTCCCAAATGAATGCAACACCCACACCCATTTTTACAGGGTTTGTCTTGTGTTTGAATCAATATATTTCATATCTGAGTTGAATATGAAACCCAACCTTGCATTCTAAATTTGGCCCAAAATCTAGCTCCACCAAAATCAAGCTAAAGACAGAAGAAGATGGACGCAATAAAATATTGTCACCACTTCTTCGCAGGTTGTGTTTCACAAACTCATTTCATATTAAAGTTGAATGCAAAACCCAAACCAAAAGTGGCCTAAAATCTAGCTCCACCCAGCTTCCAATATACGGACATGGAAAATATTGTCACCAGGTCTTTGCAGGTAGCGTTTTGCAAGCGTGTTTTGTGTTCGAGCCGAATGCAAAACCCGACCCAAAACTTGGGCCAAAATCCAGCTCCACCCCCATTTCATTGTGTGGACATGGGAAAACATTGCAACCAGGTTTTTGCAGGAAGCATTTCACAAGCGCATTTGTTATTCAAGACAAATGCAACACCCGAACCAAAAATTGGCCCAATCTAGGCCCACCCCCCTCTATTGTATTGATGTGTGAAAATGTTGTCACTAGGTCTTGGTGGGCGGCATTTCACAAGGGCATTTTATAATCAAGTTGAATGCAAAACCCAACCCAAAAATTGGCCAGAAATCTAGCTCCATCCCCCTTCCACTCTACAAACATAGGAAAATATTGTCACCAATTCTTTGTGGCCAGCGTTTTGCAAGCACATTTCATGCTCAAGTCGAGTGCAAAACCCATGCTGAATTTCATATAGAAATGGCGCCAAACCTTGTTGTTGTAATAGAAAAAAGTTGCAAATGCATTTGAATTCCACCAAAACTATCACCTAGGGACGCCTACCCTCTTTAATCTTGGACCCACCTCACATGGAACCTGGAAGTATATGCATGTTCAGGTGGGACCACCCCTAATTTAACCTAGCGGTACTTAAAATATTCGCCGGGCGAGTCGGACATGCGTGCATGCACTACTGCCACAAAGCACTGTGGTAACCCTTGCACGCATCAACAACCCCCCTGCCACGGATTTTTCAAAGTACTTCATCGTCATGCCCCGCTGCACCCCACCACGCCGGCGCCGCGTGCATGGGAGAGAAAGGAAACTTTTTTGTCGTGACAATTGGCATCTTTCGGCCTGGCCGCCCAGCGAGGTTTGCCGGTGCTTGTAGCAAATTGCACGTCGTGGCAGGAGCCAAACGACCTAACATTGCAAACGTGGCCAAATCCGAGGTTCTTGGTCCCCGCCTATGACAAACCAGATATGAGGGCCAGAGCTGGGAATAGCCATGTAGTTTAGGAAATCATTGTACTTGTGAGGGCCGTAGCTTAGAATGCCCAAATGCACTAGGCAATCCCTTGTATTAAATCAGTGTGTACCATAGACAGATGGTTAGGGCTGCGAATAGGGTGAGACAATGGGTCGCTTGGGGTGCGACGGGAACCAAGGAGGCACACGGGGAACCAAGGGGACAAATGGGGACACCAAAGGGCACAACACGCTAACAAAGGGGTTATGTAAACCCCAAGTAATAATCATGTCAGCGGCCGCTCGGCTGGCCAGCCGACGGCCTATATAAATAGGGCACCCAAGTGCCCAAACTGTAATCCAAAATTGCCACCACACTTCAGAGCCGTTTGCCGCTCCTTGCCACCTCCCTCACGGATACTCGCAGCCGTCCACGAGCCCGTCGCTCAGGACTTTCAGTCGCTGCCACACGGGACAAACAATTCGCCCCTTACAATTGGTTTCGGAGCCAGAGGAGCTGCCGAGGACACGAAGGCGCTCCAAATTGACCTGACCCACGACAAGAGGCGGCAGGGCCTCAAGGGAGTGAGAAGAGCACGTGAAGTCGAAGGGCGGAGTTTTGGAGGCCCCCCAAAGCAGCTGAGAGCGCAGAGGGTGATGCAAGATACACTCGAAGGGTAGTGCAGCGGGACGTCACGAAGATGTCAACTGCGTGTGAGGCCCCAAGAGGAGCAGATTGGAAGCCGCTGTGTGCCGGAGTGCAACAGCGAAGAGGCCGCCCCGAGGGCAACAAGGGTTGGGCGTCAAGAAGACGTCAGCCGCAAGGCCTGCCCCAAGGGCACCCGAGTTCGTTCCGCTGT